ACATGGAATTATGTTTCATAACCTTATGACTCATGAATGCATGTATCAAATAACTTCCAATTCAACATGATTATCTTGGTTTATGCTCAAATATGAGAAAACATAACAAATTTATACATGCATGCACATATTGATCCTAATCTTCACATGTTCAACTCAATTCTTGCATTTATTTGCATACTCTTTTTGAATTCACATAATTATAAACTTAAACTCATGAATTAGAGTTCAATTACTTACCTAGAGCGTTGATTATCACTTGTATTAGTAGATTCTTGAGCTACTCTTCACAATCCTTAATTCCCTTGAGTAAATCTTCAAAGATGATCTCCCTCTCTTTCTAGAATTGCTCACCCTCTCTAAAATGGCTCTCCTCATATTTTTTTTTGAGTTTTCAAAATGAGTCTAAACACTTGAATTAACCTATATATATGCTTGACTAATCAAAATGGCTAATCAAGGTTTAGTTCTAATTAATCAAGGCTCAAGTTTAATCGAATTTAATCTAATTATTTTTATTTGAATAATTTTTTAATTAAATGTCATAGTAGGACCTAAAAATTATGCTAATTATAATGGTACAATCAGTTTCTGTTTTTGTCGCCTCTACGACCGTCAATTTCAGTTTATTACCGAATACCGAGCTTATTTTCCTACGATGAACATATATGAATTCAAAAACATACATAATCACATGATTTGCATCCAAATTCACATTAAGCACATAATCATAAGTATAATTGAGGATTAGCAGTATAACACAGAATGGGGTTATCACAAATAGGTCGAGTCATATTTCATAGTGCAAGTGTATGATGGCCAAAGAAGATCAATATGACAAAGAAATTTCAAATATAGGTCCAGTGAAATATTTTTGGTACAGGTCTAGTGAAATTTTAGAAAAATTTTACACAAATTACTTTATGAAGAAATTCAAATTAATTTTACTTAGTATTGGTCTAGAGAAATTTCAGTAGGTTCTCTAAATTCTTTTGTGAAGGTCTATAGAAATTTCAACAGGTCCTCCAAATTCTCTAGTATAGGTCTAGAGAAATTTCTGGTAAAGGTCCAGTGAAATTTCTCTGATATAAGTCCAAAGAAATTTTAGCAAGTTCTCCAATCCTCCAAATTATTTGGTATTGGTTTAGAGAAATTACTTGGTATAGGTCTAGTGAAATTTTTATGGTATATGTCCAAAGAAATTTCAGCAGGTTTTCAAAATTCCTCCAGATCCGTGAGTTTATTGTTGTCCATGATCACCTACTTTTTATTCTTTAGCAAATAGATCAAGGACCTATCCTCATGGTAGGAGACGAGGTCAACGAGATGGAAGTGGCCACGAAGGCGACGGAAGGGAGGTTCGGAACTTGGTGTCGAAGACATAGACAAGGTCAATGTTGATGAAATGATTGTCAAAGTGGAAGGAGGAGGAGGTGGCGAAGAATGAGGAGATGGTGGATTTCGGTTTCAGGGAGGTGGTGGAGAGATCTAAATCTGTAGAGAGAGAATTCAAAGACAAAGCTCATAAGATGGAGTAGGTTATCCCTACCTCGAATGATGGGACTCAACGAAGGAGATGAAGAAATGGAAATGCTCCAAATCTCAAAATTTTCAGATTAAAAGATAGCCATCGACGATCAACACAACTTTTGTAAAGGCCCAAGGTGAGAAAACAACTCCTACTAGATCAATCCTAAGAGAGAAGTTAGGGTTTTAGAGTGAGGTGCTCTTCAATGGAGGTTTTGAAAAAGTAAGAGAGAGAAAGGAAATCAAAAAGTGATCAAAAAAGTGATTTCACGGACTGATATAAAAACAGGTCCGCTCGAGCGTACAACACCCCGCTCGAGCGTCAGACACAGGTTCACGCTCGAGTGTCCCAAGATCCGCTCGAGCACCGGATGCACTCTCCCAGAATTTTTTGCAGATGTCCAAAATGTTGAGAGAAGGAAATTCACGCTCGAGCGTCCAAACTGCCGCTCGAGCGGAGAGGCAACAACAAAATCCCGCTTGAGCGTCAAATCGCCGCTCGAGCGAAGTAACCAAAACCTGGGCAAAATTTCTAATTTTTAAAGCACAACCAACTTATTCCCAACTTGCCCAACACAACCCAAAGCTCGAACACAAAGAGAAAGGGATAGAAAGAGAATAAGACAACAGCACCCCTTACGAAACCGAATCCGGATTAAAGTTAAGCACGAAAGGGAAAACCGGGATCGCTATAATTCTTTTGGAGCCAAAATTTTTATCTTAAAAATAAACCTTTTGGGGTGAAATTGTTTATCTCTAAAAATGCATTTATTAGCGACATATTTCAAATTTTGTTTCTAAAGGTATTTATTTATTTATTTTGAATTTTTGTAACGAGTTTTTCATGACCCCTCATATAGCGGCTGGAATTGATCTCCTAACAATTTTTTATTTTTGTTTTTGGTTGAAAAATAATGGAAAAGCTCACTTTCTAGATTTAATGATGTGCAAATGATATGATTGATTGATAATTAGAGAAGATATGAGAGATAGTGTGTTGCCTTAGATATTTTAATTGGTTGTCACATTATTGGACTTTAAAGTGAGTCTAATTTTTAAACTTAAATAATAATATTTTTTATTTTTTATTTTTTACTTTTTCAAACAAAAAAAAATTAACCCCTAAAATCTTTATACATTGTAGGATCTATCAATTGACGATATCACGAGGATGCCAATGATTTACTTCTTGCTCTAGGCAAGATTTCCACTCCCTTAAGCAATATACCATTGTACCCAAAGATTATATATATATAATTTTTAAAAAATTTCTTTTAAAAGATATTAAAGTATGGGAAATCTCTTTTGAAATTATTCATGACTGCTAGTCCTAGAGTAAGATCATTCTAATAATAATCAGAATTAATCATCCAAATTTAATATGATTTAAAGTTATTACTTTATTCTTTAATACTACATACTTATGCGTGGTAATGCTATATGTTAGAAGTACCTGAATCGTACAGATCCATTTGGGCCACCAGATTTTGTGGCCTGCAAAACTCAATTAGAATCATATGAGCTTTCTTGATATGTAATGTTTAGGAATAATATAATATGATTTAAAGTTATTACAAGTATGGGAAATCTCTATTGAAATTGTTCATGACGGCTAGGGCTACAAATGAATAGAGCCGTTTGTGAACAAACTTGAGTTCGACTCGGTAAGAGCTCGTTCGAACTCGGTTCGTTAATTTCTTTTGCGTTCGAGCTCGAGCTCGTTAAATTTTTAATAAATAAGCCCACACATTCTAAAGTTCGACTCGTTAGCTGGCTCGTTTAATATTTATTATTTATATATTAATTAACGTAAAAATATTTATAAAAAATAAGATAAATATGTTATTTATATATTTAAAAAATATAAATGTAAATAATAGTTAATTATAGATAGTACATTTATATAATAGTGGTAGTAGATATTATTATTCTAGTAAAACATTGACTTTTTTTTTAGTATATTTATGTATATTGTACATATAATTGCATAATCAAAGTTTTAATTGTAACTTTAGTCTCATACGCAAGTATGAATTTATAAATTTATAAATTTTTTGACTTGTTAAGACTCGTGAACAGGCTCGAGCTCGAGTCAAGCCTAAGCCAACTCGACTCGAGCTCAGTTCGTTAAAATCTTAATAAATAAACCCAAACATACTAAAGCTCACCTCATTTGCAAACTGCTAGTCCGGAGTAGAATAATTTCCAATAATAATCAAAATTAATCATCCAAATTTAATATGATAATAAATTTTTTTTTTTTTTGAGGACTAATAGAAGCATGATCATTAACTAAGCAAACATGTTACAGCAGTTGCCAGCTTATGGGCCAGTTTAAAAGTTATTAGAAGTAGTGAATTCTATTACATTTAATATACTATTATCATAAAGATTCCAAAATAGGTAAATTACTAATAAGTTTTACTTTTGAGACTTATTACCTGTTAAAGTTCTATTGATAAATTTATTAGTTTCTTTTGTTTTTATGAATAAATTTATAGTGATAAATTTATCAGTCAGGACTCGTAAGTAAATAAGTCTAGTTAATAAAACTGATTGATAAATGCACCAAAATAAATACATGAATAATAGTTAAGTAATGATATGCAAATAAAAAAGTGATACAAAATGATGCTGGCTTTTTATTTTAAAACAAAACATATATAAAAATTAGTTTTATTTATCAAAATAACATTGATACATCATTCTTATGAATTTTTTTTTTTACATGATTTGTATTTATGAAGAGAATTTTCCAGGACAGTTATATACAAATAACTGCTTATAATAATAAATTTATGTAATACGTTACTTGCAAATAGTAAGATTATGGTCCAGATATCTGTTGAACTATGGACAGAATTTCTTAGATATCCTTTAATCTGGTGCTTAGATTATGATCCATCTCTTTCGTATGTATCGATCTGGCATGATCTTATTGGTCATCAGTTTGCCCAAATTGAACGTAAACTTCCTAGTGGAGGATCCAAACCAAAACTATTGAAAGGAATCGCAATAAGCTTGTTTGGTTTAAATTTTCTAAATTTATTTTTTGGAAAATTATTTATTTCTTTATTTTTTTTATACTGAATTTTTTTTTTTAATATTTTAAATAATTTTTTCAATTTTTACATACATCTAACATAAATATACACTTAAAAAGTATAATATTTGTGAAATTATTTTTAAAAATTCACTAAATACCAAAAAATAATAATAATAAAAATTCAGTACATTTTTCATATTCTTATGTATTAATTAATTTTTTAAAATATTTTCTTACAAATATTTTACTTTTAAGATATATCTAAGGAAGGTACATTTAAAAAAGTAAAAAAAATATTTTAAAAATAAAAAATATGGAAAAATAAAAAATTAAATTTTCAAAAAATTAAATTTTAAAAATTAAAGTCAAACACGATGAATAGAATTTATAAATACCTCTCCATGCTCTTGTAGCTCTTCATCCCTCCATCCTATTACTGTCTTTCATAGCTTTCTATTCTATTAATAACAAACAAGCCTACAATACAATGACATTCTTGCCCAATAGACTTCCCAACCACTTTCTTTCTTTCCCACACCTTTTACTCTGCCTCATCATCCTTGCATTGCCCACTTTTTTTTATTATGCTGCTTTTGCTTCTTCCTTAACTACTGGAAAACAAGCAACTGAACCCACGGCTCTCTTGACGTGGAAAGCTAGCCTTCACAACCAAACTCAAACTCTCCTGTCCTCTTGGGTTGGAACCAACCATTGCACTTGGCTTGGAATTCATTGCAACAAGGCCGGTAGAGTTGCCCATATAGACCTTCAGAGTTATGGTTTGAAAGGTACTCTTTCTAATCTTAATTTCTCATCCTTTCCTCATCTCCTCACCCTTCAACTTTTTAACAACTCACTTTATGGGACCATCCCCCCCCCCCATATTGGTAGCCTTTGGAGACTCACCTTACTTAATTAGCTTGTCTCTCAACAGTCTCTCTGGAACAATTCCGACCGAAATAGGCCAACTAACTAATCTAAGGTTCTTGTACGTGTTTGGAAATCAAATTGGTGGCTCCATCCCCCAAGAAATAGGATTGCTCAACTCTCTCAATGAGCTTGCCTTGTCTAATAACAATCTCACGGGTTCAATCCCTTCTTCAATTGGAAACTTGGGCAACTTAACCTTTCTGTACCTTTATAACAACCCACTTTCCGGATCAATCCCTCAAGAAATTGGAATGCTAAGGTCTCTCGTTGATCTCGATCTCGCAATGAACAATCTCACAGGTTCAATCCCTGCATCTATAGGGAACTTGAGCCAATTAACCACTCTGCACCTTTTTCGCAACCAACTTTCCGGATCAATCCCTCAAGAAGTTGGGATGCTGAGGTCTCTCGTTGATCTCCAACTCTCAAATAACAATTTCACTGGTTCAATCCCTACATCTATAGGGAACTTGGGCCAATTAACCGTTCTGCACCTTTTTCACAACCTACTTTCCGGATCAATCCCTCAAGAAGTTGGGATGTTGAGGTCTCTCATTGATCTCGAACTCGAAGTGAACAACCTCACGGGTTCAATCCCTGCATCTATAGGAAACTTAGGAATGTTAACCATTTTGTTCCTCCATGAAAATATGCTTTCAGGACTCATTCCTTCGACAATTGGAAACTTGACAAAGTTGCACAAATTAGATTTAAGTCTAAATCCATTATCAGGCTCCATTCCTTCAGAGATAGGAAATTTAAAACAACTTGGTACATCGGCATTCATTGATAACCAACTCACTGGCTCTATTCCTCCAAGATTGAACAATCTTACACATTTGAAAATTTTCCAGATACCTTACAACAAGCTCGTTGGTCATTTACCAGAAAACCTATGCTTTAGTGGATTACTAGCCTATTTTTCAGCAAGCAATAATAATCTCACAGGTCCCATCCCCAAAAGCTTGAGAAATTGCTCTAGCTTATACAGAGTTAGGCTTGAAGGAAACCAACTTTCGGGAAATATATCAGAGGACTTTGGCATATACCCAAGCTTGGTTTACATTGATTTGAGTCATAATAATTTTTATGGTGAGCTATCTAAAAACTGGGGAAAATGCCACAATTTAACTAGTCTCAAAATGTCTAATAATAAAATTTCTGGTAAGATACCATCTGAATTAGTAGGGGCAACTCAGCTATCCGTTCTTGATCTCTCTTCAAATCATCTAGTTGGAGAGATCCCATTGCAATTGGGAAGGTTGGTTTCACTATTCAACCTTAAGCTGGATGATAACTATCTATTAGGCAATATTCCTCCAGAATTCAGTAAGTTGTCCAATTTAGAGAACCTTAACTTGGCAGCAAATTATCTAAGTGGCTCAATCCCTAGAGAACTTGGAGACTACTTAAAACTATTGAACTTAAATTTGAGCAATAATAGATTTGGGGAAAGCATTCCTATTGAAATAGGCCAGATCAACACTCTTCAAAGTCTTGGTCTTGGTAATAACTTGCTAATTGGTAAGATACCACAACAGATTGGAGAATTGCAAAGATTAGAAACATTGAGGGTATGTTTGGTTTGTGTTTGAGAGATGTGTTTTAGAGATAAAAAGTACGAAAAGTTGTTTGGTTTGGTTTTTTTCAAAAGATGTTTTGGAAAATTATTTTGAGAGAGAGTTTTGGAAAAAGTGATTGATTTGATGTGTGTGAGAGAGAGATTTGTTTGGAAAACTTGTTTGGTTTAAAAGTTTTGAGAAATTTTTTTGGAAAAATTTGTTTGGTTTGATTACTTTTAAAAACTTATTTGTAGAGAAAATTTCTCAAAAACGTTTCAGAAATACAAACCAAACGAACCCTGAATCTCTCCCACAATGAGTTCTTTGGTTCTATACCATCATCTTTCAATAAAATGGTAAGTCTTACTTCCATTGATGTGTCGTACAATCAGTTAGAGGGTCCTCTTCCTGACATCAAGGTCTTCCAAGAGGCTCCATTCGAGGCACTCAAAGGTAATAAAGGTTTATGTGGTAATGCTACTGGTCTTAAGGCTTGCTTGACAAAATTGAACAATGGGGATGTTGAAAAAAAGGGCAAGAAAGTCATGTTACTAGCTGTACTTCTTGTTTTTGGAATTTTGTTTCTTTTGCTAATGGTTCTTGGCATTTTCATGGCTTTTCGTAAGAAAGTGAGGAACACAAAAAATGAGCCATCACAAGTAAACCGTGATAATGTTTTTGCAATATGGAGCTATGATGGAAAAATGGTTTATGAAAACATCATTGAAGTCACTGAGAACTTCAGTGCCAAATATTGTGTTGGAGAGGGAGGATATGGTACTGTTTATAGAGCTGACCTACCAAATGGTCATGTAGTTGCTGTGAAGAAACTTCATGCAACACTTCATGATGACTCGACTAATCTAAAAGGGTTTACAAGTGAGATCCGCGCATTAACTGAGATTCGGCATCATAACATTGTAAAGCTGTACGGTTATTGTTCACACCCAAGGCACTCGTTTTTGGTTTATGAGTTCTTGGAAGGGGGAAGCTTGGGAAAGGTTCTTAGTATGGACGATGATATAGTAGTCTTTGATTGGATTAAGAGAGTGAACACTGTTAAAGGTGTGGCAAATGCTCTGTCTTATATGCACCATGATTGTTTTCAACCAATCATCCATCGAGACATATCAAGCAATAATGTTTTGTTTGATTTCGAGTATGTGGCTCACATATCTGATTTTGGCACAGCTAGATTTATGAATCTCAACTCATCCAATTGGACTTCATTTGCTGGGACCTTTGGTTATGCTGCTCCTAGTATATATTTTTCTATTGCAATGATTTATTTCCAATTAAATTACCCATGTAGTGTTTGTTCATTTTAACTTACTAATGATGACAAATTACTAGATGTAAGCTTGTTATCTAATATGCATACCCTTAAATTCTCATATATAATGAGCATAGCTACTGAAAAGCCATTTTAGATGAAAAATATGCACTGAAGTAAGTAAATAGTGTTGTAGATGTGTTAGCTAATTGGGGTTGTGATAATAATTCTTATTTCTATACTTTTTAAGAGCCTTGTAGATTTGTTAAGCCTATTGTGGCTTTAGATAGGTTGGGTACTTTGTATATATATATTCAAGTTTGTTAGTGTTGATTCTTTTTGGGGCCAAATTACACTGCACCCCTATACTTTATACCATTTATTACTTTGCCCCTTGACTTTTAAATTATTTCAATCAGCCCCTAGATTTCAAGTCCAGTTTCAATTGGGCCTAAGCATATAACATTGTCTTAAAATGAGATTTTGGTAAAAATACAAGTTGATAAGGAATAAAGTGAGATTTTGATAAAAGTGTAGGGGTGCTAATTGTAATTAATGCTATCACGTGACTATTTTTTGTTAGTTTTTGAAACAAGGTTATACAAATGGGACCAATTCCAATTTGATTCGAAGTCTGGAGGGTTGACTAAAACAATTAAAAGGTCAGAAGGTAAAGTGGGATTAGATGTAAAGTATAAGGATGTAAAATGTAATTTACCCATTCTTTTGCATGAATATTTTCTTTCTTCGATTGCTTGAGAGATAAGGCTCATTACCCCTCTCAATTTTAGATTATCAATAAATTTATCCTTGTGTTGTCAAGGTTTTCCAAAAAGTAAAAAATAAAATCTCTTTTCTGCGAGACATGAAATATTTTTTCTTTGTTTGACATTCATTTAAGAAAATGACCATTTTAGTAGGATTCTATGGGTTTCCTTTATTTTAGTACTTATGGTTTAAGTTGAGACTTTGGCCTGCTCTGATGACCTACCACTTGTGCAAGGATGGATCGAGGGGGCTGGTAGGGGTGACCGCCACCCCAAAATTTTGAAATAACTCCTTAAATATAGTGGTATTAGTTATCAATATTTATAAATTATATAGGCTCACCCCTCCAAGATTTTATTAATTTTCTTTAACTTGATTTGCAATTTTAAGTTGGAATCATTACTCTTCAACTCTAGGTTTCCTTTCTCTCTTTACCTCTTATTCTTCTTGTTTGTTTCGGTTCTCCTCTTCTCTTCTTGTTCTTCTTTTTCCTCAATTTTTTCCTCTATCGCTTTTGTTATTTCAATTCTGCCTAGAACTCAATTTCCATTTTCACTTTTTGTTCCTTTTCTCCATCTCTATTTTCAAACAACTTATACTTTCTGTTCTTTCTATTCTTTCTGTTTTTCTTATTTCTATATTTAAACTATGTCTTTCTTTCTTCTTCTTCTTCTTCTTCTTCTTCTTCTTCTTCTTCTTCTTTGAGATCTTGATTACATTCGATGGAAGTCGTACTCACCAATAAAGAGATCACATTGCCATTGAGCATTTTTGAGTTGACATTTTACAATTACATGTGATACTCAATTATAAGAATTAGAAAAACTGATCTAAAAAAACTGATTGATTTTTCAAAATTGAAGATATTTGCAAGCTTGCAAGTAAATTTAATTTACATTTGAAATTCCATTTACAAAATTAGACATTCCGAATTTCAAAAATTGTTAATAATAGTCGAGTTATACCAAAGTGTTTGTAAAGCAAGAAAGTTGATAATTTATCCTCTTGTCAATAGATTGAATCATCATCTTTTAACTTTACCTATTTCTACAGTGATTACAAAATGCACATTTTGTCAATAAAAATTATCCAAACTAAGCAACACAAATAGTAATTTTCTCCTTGATTAAAAGTTCGCTCTCTAAGATTAAAATCATGCATCCATCCTTGCACTTGTGAATAGTGCTACAAAAGCCACTGTATATAGTTCATTGCTTTAAAAACTAATCTTTCTATAGTTAACATTTGGCGGTGAGCAAATTTTCATTAATTCTTTATTTCTCTCAAATTGTTTAGGTTGGTTGTCAAATCAGAAAGAGTAATAACACTTGAAAGACTTTAGTTAATATTGGTGACTAACAATCCTATTGATGTCTTGAAAATCATGTATGGAAAGGTAGGTAGCTGCTTCAATGAACTAACTATCCTATTTTAAGATATTCATAGCTCTTTGGTTTTCATATTCTGAAATTTTGGCATTGACATTCATCAAGCATTTATATAATTTCCTTCTTTTGGAACCCTAAACTATTTGCCTCATCTATCAAAGAATTTTAAGCAATTTAATCAATATCTGGAAATGAGCCAAGAGCATTTTTATTTGCTTTTCCACCCTTTCTTTATTTAACTATTTTCTGTTGATGGGCATTTTTGTTTTTTGGTAGAACTTGCTTATACAATGGAAGTGAATGAGAAGTGCGATGTTTATAGTTTTGGGGTGCTGGCACTGGAAGTGATTATGGGGAAGCATCCTGGTGATCTAATCTCCTTTTTATCATCATCCTCGTCCTCATCATCAACATCAACTGCGCAAGGCATATTTTTGAAGGACGTCTTGGACCAACGCCTTCTACCTCCGAGGAATCAAATGGCAGAGCAAGTAGTTGTTGTTGCGAAACTAGCATTTGCATGTTTACACACCACTCCACTGTCTCGGCCAACCATGCAACAAGTTGCTACGATATTATCAAAGCAAAGGCCAACACCGCAAAATCAATTCTACACGATTACATTAGGACAACTCTTTGACATCAACTGCTCGAGCTCTTGAGTATTTATTTTCCCTTTTATTCTTGGATTGCATGATGTTCTTGCTTTCAATTGTCTTCTACCATTCTTCAATTTCACCATGTTTCCAGTCTATTTTGCTACTCTGTTCTACTAATTACCATTTTACAAACTTTTATATGCCTAATTTAAAAGTACCAATCCTCTATAATTTCCATCACAGTTAGAGATACACGATACTATCAAAGCAAAGGCCAACACCGCAAAATCAATTCTACACGATTACATTAGGACAACTCTTTGACATCAACTGCTCGAGCTCTTGAGTATTTATTTTCCCTTTTATTCTTGGATTGCATGATGCTCTTGCTTTCAATTGTCTTCTACCATTCAATTTCATCCTGTTTCCAGTCTATTTTGCTACTCTTTTCTACTAATTACCATTTTACAAACTTTTATATGCCTAATTTAAAAGTATCAGTCCTCTATAATTTCCATCACGGTTAGAGATACAATAATGTGTCTTGAATTCTACAGTAGCTCACTTGTTGTATTACATATATCTTGGCTCTCGATCAACAAGTAGGCTCTGTGGTCAGCGTAATCCAACCATGAATAATAGACACGCTCAAGCTCTTGCCATCTTGCATGCAACACATATGACATTGTATAATATCCTGTCTTCTTGATTTTTGTATTTCCAGGTAGTTGGTGGACAAGATTTTCCATGGGAACTTGGCTCCACTAATATTGGACATCTACGACTTTAGTCCTGAGTTCCAAAAGCTAAGAGAACCAAGCTTATTGTATGGCTACTTTTTCGAGAAATGCAAGGATTCGACTCAGTCTTCATTGGTCATCTCAACCAGAGGGCAATCATCTAAGTTTTGGGTGGGTTTGCTTGTCCTGTTTTATGTGTTTTGTTTTGATTTTGCTTCTAGCAAGGTAGTGGCTTGGTGTGTTGCTTTCACTTTGGTGGATTGGGAGTTTAGTAAACTTAATTTTTTAGGATTCTCTCCTATACTAGACTTAGGTGGTGTTTTTCTTTCGATCTCTCTATTCATATGGTTTAATCGCTTTGTATATGAAATGAAGTTAATGAATCACACCTTATGATATTTAACAAGCATTCAAGCTTGGAACCAATTTGCATAGGATGGATAATTTCTTGATCATTTCATAAACTTTTTCCGCCTTCCACTTCATTCTCTTGAATAAACAAAGAAACGGTAAATTTTTGTAAGTCCCTAAATTTATGATCTGATCTTCAATTTGCAGCAGTGTAGGCATGGTGCTGGGGCTTGAACTTATGCTCTGTTTCCTCTGTTTTTTGTTTTTCTGGTCTGCTTCTTTCTTGTGTAGCTATATTGGAACCTCTCCATTTCTGGTTCTGTGAAATTGCTCATGATTGATCATGCATAGGGTGCCAACATAGTTGGGATGCTATGTTTTTTATAATGATGCAGTGTTTGTTCCCATCTCTTTGTAAGTTCCTTGATCTACTTTTGATTAATAAAAATCTTTTCTTTTAGCTAACCAAAAAAAAAACATAAAACAAAAAAGAGGGCTTTTAGTGGAAAAAAAAATGTCAGTTCAAACTCATTGTAAAACATCCTCACCATACAGAAACATTCACTAGAAAGTCAATTTCAAGCATCCAAATCATTCCTACAACATTGATTCTGCAAAAGCTTTATGCCTTTTTCCTGGCCCAATCTCTAGACCTTAGTCTCAAACATGTGCACATGTTGGTCTAACACAGAAAGCAAACTGATACAAATGAACTCATAATCATGCACATGACCACTTTTGTCAACAAAGAAGCGTCGTTGAATTATTACCATAAAAATGAGCAAAGGCTAGATATCTCGACATGCTTAAGAAGTTTATTGTATTTAAGATGAACATTTTAGAAAATATGCATAAGCAAATTCTAAATTCACGGACAACATACTAGTAGGTAAAATAAAAATCTCACGCATTAAGGTTAGACAGATAAAATCGCTATACCAAACTAAAATATAGGAAATAAAATTAAGAACCTAGTCTAAAACATTGGTTTAAAATATCTCTAATACAAATAGGCAAAATAAATTAAAAACCAAATAAAAAACTATGGGGTTTTAAAATCTCTAATAAACAAAAATTTCATTCATACTATTCAAGTCCTTAGCACTTAAAATACTCAAAAATAATATCAAAAAAGTAAATTAACGATAATTGTCCCAAGGAACATCAGAGTCACAAAATCATGTTCACCCAACTTGCATCGACATACCAAAATTTGAGAAGTTTGCATTATTATGTCTTTAGGTGTCCATAAAACTTATGCTTCTATTTTATAGTCTAAAAGCGTCCATGTCCAAACTCAGAATATGTATTAATGAACTTGAGTTTAATCTACTCAAGGGCCACACAGAATTCCTGCGTGAGCAGAGACTAAGCATAACAACCACCCTCTTTGGGCCAACAAAACAACCCTTGATCATTTCAAACGTAAAGAAAGAAAGATCATGTAGCTCCTCTTGAAAGCATGCTTAAAACCTTAAAATGTAAGCATTGTGTAACTTCATAACCTCACATCAGTTAATTGTTAACTTGGGCTTGTTAGCTTCACCTGCAGAGGGAAGACATGACCCATAATTCAAGTCTTTGATAGTCTTTTGATTAAAATTGTACTCCTTTCCGATATAAGCAAGGCAATAAATAATGTTCTATATGGTTCATTGGAATGCAATGGTAACTCTAGAAAATTTTATAGATTCACTCAAAAAATTTAAACTCCATAAATTTTATTTTAAAAAAAAACTTTTTAAACTAATTAACATTTGAATTCTCCACCTTCAAGTAAAATAAACTTTTAATAAAGTACTATCATCTTTACAAAAAAAGAAGAAAAAAAAAACTTTTACAGTTGTATTTGATGAGGTGTCATATTTTTTAATTATTACATGATAACCTCATTATTAATAGTGTCAAACACATACTTTTTCATATACATAATGAAGTAATCACTTAACTATTGATCTTTTATTTGATTTGAGTGTTGAAAATAAAAATGTAATAGAGAATGATTAGATTCTTGATGAATTTTGATTTCCAATGGATGTGGTCCCTTATTTTTATTTAATGGGATAAGTTAGTTATCAAATAAAATTTTTACCATACAAAAAAAACAAAATAAAATAAAAATTCAAAGCTTTTTGTAGGGTGATGGTTGGATGGGACCCCATCAACCATGCAGTGTCACGGCCCACTTTTTATAATAATGGATACTATTACCAAATCCTTCATTATAACACAATTTCAAAGATCATGCGCAGAAATTTAATACATTAACGAGTATTATTATTAAAGGTTCTCTCATTTGAATATGAAATGAATGCAACATGAGATAAAAATAAATAAATTGCCAGTAGGCTTACATCTTTTAAATTAAAAGAAAGGGTTTAACCCTTTTACATCAATGGCATTCCGCCTACAAATAAAAGGCCCCGTGGCCAACACATAAAAAAGATCCTCGATCTTGAAATCCTTCTCGACGTTCACCTGAAAAGGATAAGCAACATGGGATAAACATAAAGTCCAGTAAGGATCCCAATATGATCCTAAACAACAACAACATACATATAGCTATGATCATGAATGCTTTAAATCATATCATATACATAATTTGACAGTTTATACAGAAATATACTTATATAGGAACTTTTCTCAAAATCATTCATTTCGTTCAATAACATAAGCATTTTACTTTTCTTTCTTCATGTTACCTTTTTCAAAATTCATATGACAAAAACAAGTTCCTGAAAACAATTTCACAAAGCTCATTACGTTTTCTACCACTTTCCGGACGTACACTTGATTTGCCTTTTTGAAACATGTTCACAAGTATCCGATGTCCTTCACATTATTGACAATCTCAGTACAGTACTTACGTCCATTTCCAACACATTCATGTCTTTACATATATACATTCAGTACAAAGGGAAAACAACAAGCAACCAACAACTATCTACTCAACAAATGAGGCAACTCAGCCTTCCAGAATCATAACCATCATAACCCATAATATACACGGATATATTGAGACAATAATGATAAACAAGTTCCGCTCTACCTGCCTTAATCACAGTAAGCCAAGGATACACCTTTAGTCATTTTAGTCTTACTTCATTACATGACAATTCATTTCAAGTTAATTTATTTCATCTCAATTCATGAGCCAATTCATTACATTTTAGACATCCAACTGAGGCTACAACTCAGTGGTTCTCAATCAACACAAATAGTACACAAACACTTCAAACTTTCATTTCATGGATATTTCGTCGGCTGCCCATGTATTCTTTCACGGCTATTTCGTCTGCGGGTAGCTGTCAAACGGAACCCATGTATTCTTTCATGGATATTTCGTCTGCAGGCAGCCGTTAAACGGGACCCATGTAAACGTAGGCCATACAAGCACTACAATTGCCATTTTACGGATATTTCGTCCGCGGGCTAGGCACCCATGTATAATTTCGGGTCTTTCACCTAGGACACTCCGGCCAACTTAATTATAATGAAGTCCATCCCCTTTCTCCTTCCAAACAGTCATTCATATATATGCAATGTATTTAAACACAAACTCAAACAATGGAGTACATCCTCTTTCCACTGCAAAATAACCACACATATACAATGTATATAGACATAGTCATATTCAATGACAACCAACAAAAGATTAATTTCAATTCACCTAGTCCAGATGCAATTTCTACAACAGTCATAGCTATCCTCCACTGATAGCCCAAAACATTTATTTCTAAACATATATAAAATCTCCAAAATAGATAAACTATCCATATTTTCATAGGTGAGAGATGACAAATATCCAACTCCACCATTTACATTCATATCTATCCATTTCTACATCTAATACGAAAGGAAAAAAAAAATTCAATTCTCGTAAGACTTTCAGTCCAATAACGATGATAATATGTAAAGGTTCCAAAATCCGACTTCAAGTTCATTATCAATTTACAAAGGGTAATGACTTCATTTTCTTTCAAAAAGACCACTTTTCTTTATTTTCCAATCCACACAACTCCAAGGCTTACACTGGAGTGAACAAGGGTATGGTCTTCAGACTAGCTGCGGTTGTGATTTTTGTTTCAGAGGCATCTGGTAGCAGCTCGGAGGTTGGTACTCTAGCTCGTGAAGAAGCTTTAGCTACCATTCAAATGGGTTATGCTTTGGGGATCAAGTTTAATGGAAAAGAAAATGAGGCTTTGAAGATAGTTATAGAGATGGAATTGAAGGACAAAGGAAGGATTCGAGGTGGGGTAGGGACTGCGGTATAAGTAGTTCCGATGGATGAGTTACAGAGTAGCTATTGGTTATCCATGTAGATTTTATCTTGGAATTGTAGAGGTCTAGGGAGAAGGGAGAAGAGAGGTAAGATTAGGAAGTTAGTTTATGAGAGAAATATTGACTTTGTTCTGCTCCAAGAAACTAAGAGGTAGAGCCTTTGTCAAATTGAGGTGAAATCACTTTGGCCTAGGGATAAAATGGAATTCATGTATGTGGACTCAGATGGTTCAGAAGGTGGTCTGTTGTGCATTTGGCATCCAGGGATGTTCTAACTTCTTGCTTGTTGCAGTAATAGGAATTTCATTTTACTCTCAGGTATTTTTTTGAATTCTTTTGAAGGTGTCTTAGTGAATGTCTATGCTCCGAATGTGGTGGGTTACAAAAGTAAGTTGTGGGAAGTCCCATGTAAATTGAAATCCATACTTCCTAAACATAGGTGCTTAGGAGGAGATTTTAATGAGATAAGAAATGTGAGGGAAATGAGAGGCTGCTCAAGGAGAGTTAGGGGAATGAGGGACTTTAACAGCTTTATTGATAATTGTGAGTTCTTAGATATTCCACTCCTTGGTAGGAAATTTACTTAGTGTAACGCTAGGAAGGAAGAAAAATAGAGCAGAATTGATAGGTTCTTAGCAAATCCTGATCGGAGATGAGATTGATGCGCTCGCCGCCTTCTTTGCTTCAATTTCAAGTTGTGGGGACTGCCTAGACTTTTATCTGATCATTGTCCCTTACTGTTGATGGAGGATGATAGGGATTGGGGTCCTAAGCCTTTCGGATTTATAAATGCCTAAACCTTACATCCTAGCTTTGCATCTTTTCTAGAGAAGTCTTGGAAAGAATCTGTAGTGAAAAGATG